TCTCCTCCTCCTCCTCCTCCTCCTCCTCCTCATCCCCGGGCGGTCTGGGGCTCCCCCCGTCCCACCCCCCCGGCACAGGGGCCACACGGCACCGCAGAGATATGCGGGCAGAGGGCGCGAGCAGGGCAGGGGGAGGAGGGAGGCAGGGGAGGAAGGATGGGGTGCAGAGGGGGGAGAAGGGGGGGAAGGGGGGGAGAAGGGGTGGAGGGGGGAGAAGGGGGGGAAGAGGGGGAGGGGGAGAAGGGGTGGAAGGGGGGGAGAAGGGGGGGAAGGAGGGGAGGAAGGTGGGGTGCAGAGGGGGGAGAAGGGGGGGGAGGGAGACAAGGGAGGAGGGGAGAAGGGAGAGGAGGGGAGGAGGGAGAAGCGGAAGAGGCGCGCCAGGGGAAGAATCGAGGAGGGGATCGGCTACAGGATTGATGCAATTATCCCCAAATTGATTTCCTCGTCGAGTCTACGGAAAAGGCGTCGAATGTTCGTGGAGTCAACAAAAAATGGGGTAAATCGACTCTGTCGACCCACTACTCGAAGGGAGGGAGAAGGCAGAGAAGGCAGCCTCCCCCAGGCCGTGCGAGGTCCTCCGGGGTGCGTGCTGCGCCTGGGCTCCGAGGAGCGGAGCAAGAAGAGCAGAGCAGGGTCGGAGTAAAGCACAAGCAAAACGCGCATGAAGGCAGAAAACGAGACAGTCTCGGCCAGAAATGTTCTGAGAACACTCCGTGCAGACCACAGAATGCTCTTAGAACACTGCTTGGTGGGCCTATAGGCGAGCCAGTATCGGCGGTGGACAAGCCTCCCTTTGGTAAACCTCCCTTTCGTGAAAGCGGCCCGGGGCCGAAACCAACGGGTCTGGACCCGCAAACGTGACGGCCGCGACGCCCTCTCGCGAACAGAAAGCGGCCAATTCGCTGCTCGACGTGTCAGGGTACAGTCGGGGCGTTGACCTAAGGAACCCTAAATAAGGAGCGAGGCCCCTTTTTTCCATGAGTTAAACTTCGACTTCCCATCGGAAGCATAAGGAACACCTGAGGCAAGCTGCGAAACACTTCAGGAACGCGGAGCCCCTCCCCAACGAAAAGGGTTCCCTCTTCAGGGCCCCGACTGTAGGAGCTCTGCCCACCCCCGAACGTGCATAAGTAGGAAGGACGGGTGTGGCAACAGGGACGTACGGCAAGGCCCGTGGAGGCCGAAGAGCCGAGACGTTTTTTTTGGGGGGGGGGCGGCGGTGGGCCCGCGCGAGCGGCCGAGGACGGGCCGGGCCGCGGGAGGCGAGCACACAGAGGGTGCTCCAGACGAGGGCGCGCGCCCTTAACAGTCGTGGCGTTGACCCAAGGAGCCCCAAATAGGGAACGAGGCCCCTTTTTTGTTTTCCATAAGTTGACCTTCGATGTCCCCTCGGAAGCACCAGGGGAAAGCTGAGGCAAGCTGCGAAACACTTGAGGAACGCGGAGCTCCTCCCCAACGAAAAGGGTTCCTTCTTCAGGGCCCCGACTGTACTGGGCGCGTGGACTGCGTGACGTCGGAGATCCGGGCAGGACCTGTCAGCATCGAGCCGGGAGCTCGGACCCGACCGGGGCGCGCGTCGGATCGGGCCGCATCGGCGCGGAGGCGAGGTCGAAGCGGAGCGACGGCACCACGAGAGCGCCATGCGAGCATCGGGCCGCACCGTGTCGTTGGAGTATCGGGGTCGAACCGGATCGAGCTGGCTGGAATCGATGTCGAATCGGATCGGTTGGATCGACATTGACCCTGTCTGGGTTCCTGGAGACTCGCCATCGCTCGAACGTCCACTCCCCGTGCATTTGTCGGTCTCGCGCGTGCTTTTTGCTGCCAGAAGATCCAGGATGCTCCTCGAGCTCCTCGATGGTCCTCGCCGAGGAAAAATTCCCGCGTCCGAGCGATGCCAAGGGAGAAGCAGGGCCGCGCTCGAGGCGGGCGGGGGCCGCTCGAAATCGAAAGAAAACGCCCGAATGGAGAAGCACATCGTCGGGATCTGGAATGCCCGCCCCTCCCAGCATTCGACCGACGATGCCGTGGTCGTCGTCGTGAGAGGTGGAGGAGGAGGAGGAGGAGGAGGAGGAGGAGGAGGAGGAGGAGGAGGAGGAGAGGAAGGAGGAGGAGGAGGGAGGGAGGAGGAGGAAGGAGTAGGGGAGGGAGGAGGAGGAGGAGAAGGTGGTGGAGGTCTCGAGGCGGGGCCGCACTCGAGGCGGCGGTCGCTCCTGGTCGCCCAGCCAGTCGGAGCCCTTCACCGTGTCGTAGGCGTGCCAGCGCCAGTCGTCCTCGGCGCGGGGAGCGCAAGGGGGCGCGGCACCAACAGCCTGCGCCTCCGTCTCCACGCGCGCCTCCCAGGAGGACGGACGAGGAGGTAGGCGCCTCCTCCTCCTCCTCCACCGATCCTCCTCCTTCACCTCCTCCTCCACCTCCTTCTCCTCCTCCTCCTCTCTCCTATCCTCCTCCTCTCTTCTTCTTCTTACTCTTATTATTATGATTTTTCCTCTTCCTCTCTCCTCTCTCCTCCTCTCTTCCTCCTCTCTCCTCCTCTTCCTCCTCCTCCTCCTCCTCCTCCTCCTTCCTCCTCCTCATCATCATCATTCATCAGCATCATCATCATCATCAGCATCAGCATCAGCATCAGCCCATCAGCATCATCATCATCATCAGCATCATCATCATCAGCAGCAGCATCATCAGCATCAGCATCATCATCATCATCATCATCATCTATCATCATCAGCATCATCATCATCATCATCATCAGCATCATCATCATCATCATCATCATCACCACCACCATCATCATCATCATCATCATCATCATCATCATCATCATCATCATCATCATCATCATCATCATCATCGTCATCATCATCATCATCATCATCCGCCTCCCTCGTGGAGGGGCGGGGAACCGGAGAGAAGGGAGGGAGGGAAGGAGGAGAGAGGGAGGGAGGGATGGAGGCAGGGAGAGAGGGAGGAGGAGGAAATCGGGAGGGAGGGAGGGAGGGGAGGGATGGAGGTGGGAGAGAGGAGAGGGAGGAGGGAGGAAGAAAGCTGAGATGGGGGGCGAGGAGGAGGAGGAGGAGGAGGAAGGAAGTGCGCTTCTCTCGCCCCCCCCCCGCCACCCTGCCCTTCCTCTCCTTGCCCACCCCCCCATCCCTAGAGGCCACCACCACCCCTCGGAGTCCTCGGTCATGTTGGCGAGGGCGCCGTTGATGCCGCCCTGGGCGGCCACCGTGTGCGAGCGCGTGGGGAAGACCTGCTGCGGCCGCCGCCGCCGCCGCCGCCGTGGCCGTCGTCGTGGCCGTCGTCGTCGCCATGGCCGTCGTCGTGGCCGTCGTCGTCGACGTGGCCGTCGTGGCCGTCGCCACCGTCGTCGGCGGCGGCGCCGTGGCCGTCGTTGTGGCCGTCGTCGTCGTCGTGGCCGTCGTCGTGGCCGTCGTCGTCGTCGTCGTCGTGGCCGTCGTGGCCGTCGCCACCGCCGTCGGCGGCGGCGCGGCGCCTTCGTGATGCACGCCGTCTTCAGGCCGTGGCCCACGAGGCCGGCGGCCGCGCGCAGGCCCGCCCCGCCGGCCCCGATCACCACCGCGTCGTAGCTGTGGTCGAACACCTGCCCGGGGCGGGGGTGGAGGTGGGCCCCGGGAGGACAGGTCCTTCTCCTCCGCCTCCTCCTCCTCATCAGCATCATCATCATCATCATCATCATCATCAGCAGCAGCATCATCATCATCATCATCATCATCATCATCATCATCATCATCATCATCATCATCATCATCATCATCATCATCATCATCATCATCATCATCATCATCATCATCATCATCATCATCATCATCATCATCATCATCATCATCATCATCATCATCATCATCATCATCATCATCATCATCATCATCATCATCATCATCATCATCATCATCATCATCATCATCATCATCATCATCTCCTCATCATCTCCTCATCATCCTCATCCTCATCATCATCATCATCATCATCATCATCAGCAGCATCATCATCGTCATCATCATCATCGGTATCCGCATCAGCATCAGCATCAGCATCATCAGCAGCAGCAGCATCAGCATCAGCATCAGCATCAGCATCATCATCATCATCATCATCATCAATCACCACAACCACCACCATCACCACCACCACCACCATCAGCATCATCAACATCACCATCGTCACCACCACAGAGACCACCACCACCATCATTATCACCATTATCAGCATCAACATCATCATCTGCATCAGCATCATCAAAAGCAAAATCGTCATCATCTGAACCATCATCATCATCACCATCATAATCACCATCATCATCATCATCATCATCATCATCATCATTATCAACATCATCTTCATCATCATATTCATTATCATCAGCAGTAGCATCAGCATCAGCATCATCCTCATCATCTTCATCATTATCCTCGTCATCATCATCAGCAGCATCATCACCATCATCATCAACCTCGTCAACCTCCTCAACATCATCAGCAGCAGCAGCATCATCGTCATCATCATCATCATCATCATCATCATCATCATCTCCTCATCATCCTCATCCTCATCATCATCATCAGCAGCATCATCATCGTCATCATCATCATCAGAGTCAGCATCATCATCATCATCGGTATCCGCATCAGCATCAGCATCAGCATCATCAGCAGCAGCAGCAACATCGTCATCATCATCATCATCATCATCATCATCATAATCATCAATCACCGCAACCACCACCATCACCACCACCACCATCAGCATCATCATCATCAACATCGGCATCGTCATCGTCATCATCATCATCAACCTCGTCATCATCATCATCAGCAGCATCACCACCATCATCATTAACCTCGTCAACCTCCTCGACAACATCAGCAGCAGCATCATCATCGTCATCATCAGCAACATCGGCATCGTCATCGTCATCATCATCAACCTCATTATCGTCATCCATCGCTCCCGGACAATATGCGCCGGTGCGGTTCGCGACCGTGTCGCCTGAGCCGATCAGACACACGCGATGGGGCGCAGCAGTCCATGTCTGGTCGAGCTGAGGACGCCGCGCGGCTCTTCAAGCCGTGCGTCTTGTTCCCCCGCCAGAGCCCAGTCTTGTAGCATACTGATACTGTGACTCGGCGCACGCCACCAGCTATCATCAAAAATCTGCACCAAGTCCCAGCACTACTGGCAATGGCGGCACAGTGTTTCACACGTTGTCAATTCCGTACCCGTTTTTCTGCTCGTCCTTCCGCGAGGTCAACGTCGGACATCAATGTCGGAGTCGAACAGTTGTGTCATGAGATTGGGTGGAGAGTCCACCTCTGCTGGGCATTGTAACAAATTAAATGTCTGCCCCATCGTCCTCGCTCTGGGTGGTTCGATTCTTCTGCATGACCGTTGGCATATGGTCATACGTTTGCGGTGGTGGTGCCGAGTCACATCAAGAAAACTGATTTCTTCTCCAGGTGAGGAGTACGGACCCCCGATCATCCCTGGGCCTGGGTGATGCCGCCTCTTGCTACTAGCTTGGAAAGGCGATCTAGTCAGCGTTTGCAGACGGACACACACACAGTTTCGCCAATCATGCCGCACCTCGTTGCTGCAATATCTCGGCAGCGCTGCACGGTCACATTGTAGTCACGTTGCTCCTCTACCTGATCAGGCCCCGCGCATAACGAAATATGGTAAACAGCAGCAGCACGAGACGTTATGTGAAGCGCGCGGTCTCGCGCTTTCACGTGTCTTCAAGCGTCAGTTCACCTATTGATGTCATTGCTCGTCTGTCTTCTTGCAGTGCGTCATCGTGATGTACATCTCAAAGTGCTTTATTGTCGGGTCTTTCCAGGGGGGGGGCTTAACTGAAGAGCGCTACGCCTGCGAAGAGCACATCATCTGGAAATGCTTCATCGTGGATGTGTCCTCCGTTGAGAACTTCATCATGGAGGTGGTCTTCTTGGTGAGGGTCGTCGTGCGTGGTGCGCTTCAAGAAGAAGCACGGAGAGCTTCTCCGTAGATGGCTTCATCGCGGAGGTTACCTTCTTGTAGGGCTCTATGGTCTTCTTGCAGTGACTCGTCATGGAGTGCTTCATGGTTGCGGACGCCTTCGTGGAGGGCTGCATCACAGAGGCCGTCCTCTTGACCTCTCCACCGTGACGTGCTTCGGTGGGGGTACTTCTTCGTGGAGTGTTTCACCTGGGAATGCTTCATCTCGGGGTGCCTCGTTGACGAGGTTGTCTTCGTGGAGGGCGTCATCAATGAGTGCTCCATCACCCGGGAGTGCTCCATCCTGGAGGGCTTCTCGGCGGTGGTACTTCGTTGGGTTCTTTGTCACGGGGATGGTTATCTTGGGGTTGATGTCGCGGCGCGCTCCAGCGAAGAATGCTTCTTCGGGGGCTGCTCCATCGCGGGCTGCTTCACTCTGGAGGGCGTCCTCGCGAGGGTCACCCTCTTGGAGCGCTCAATCTGAGCGTTTCTTCTTCGGCGTTTCGACATTGGGCGGAAGGGGGGGGGGTCTGGCTCCGGACCTCTGCTTAGTGCGACTGTTTGCAACAGTGCGTCCGATGGGGGAGACTCCACCTGCTCGAAACAGGCGCCAAAAACAGCCAAGATCTAATCCATGGGGGGGGAGGGAGGGGGTACGAAGGCCCGCGCCGATCGGCAAAACAATGAATAAGAAAACGATCACAATCTTCTTGAAGTGCTTCGTCGTGGAGTCCCTCATCGTCGTGGTTATCTTCTGGGAGTGCTTCCTTGCGGAGGTCGTATTCATGGGGGGGCTGCGTTGTGGTGCACGCTTCGTGGAGGGCGCTGCCTCGGGGAGTGTCATCGTTTGGAGAACATCGTGCAGAGTGCATAATCGAGGGGCTCTCTTCGGAAAGGACTTCATTACGGAGAACTTCATCAGCGAAGAGTGCTCCATCCGGGAGTGCTTGAGGAGTCTTCCATCGCGGAGGCGAGTTTCGCGGGGCGTCTCATCGAAAGTGAATGCGGAGTGCTTCATCGTGCCCTCACCTTTCAGGGCGATGCGTCTCTGTGGGCATCATCTTCGTCCATCCCTCCGGGCCTGTATGCGCCGGTGCGGTTCGCGACCGTGTCGCCTCAGCCGATCAGACACACGCGATGGGGCGCAGCAGTCCATGTCTGGGGACGGCGCCCGGCTCTGCAAGCCGTGCGTCGTGCTTCCCGGCCAGAGTTCAGTCTTGTAGCATCTTGATAGTATGTTTCGGCACACGCTACCTCCAACCATCACAAGCAGCATCAGCAGCAGCAGCAGCATCATCATCATCATCATCATCATCATCAGCAGCGTCGTCATCATCATCATCAGCATCATCATCATCATCATCATCATCATCATCATCATCATCATCGTCACCATCAGCATCATCATCATCATCAGCAGCATCAGCATCATCATCATCGTCATCATCATCAGCAGCATCAGAATCAGCGTCAGCATCAGCATCAGCATCAGCATCATCATCACCAACAGCAGCAGCCTGCTCCTGATCCTCCTCCTGATCCGCCTCCTCCGAATCAGTTGCCCTCACCATCATCATCAGCAGCATCAGCATCATCCTCATCGTCGTCATTATCATCAGCATCACCATCGTCATCGCCATCGTCATCAGAATTCATGATCATCAGACTCCCTTCCTTCCTCCTCATCCTCTTCTTCCTCATCATCATCATCAGCAGCATCATCAGCACCATCGTGATTATCATCGTCATCATCATCATCATCATCATCATCATCATCATCATCGTCGTCATCATGATCAGCATCATCATCACAGCCTTCACCATATTCAGATTCATACTTGTGTACATAATCATCATCATCATCATCATCATCATCATCATCATCATCATCATCATCATCATCATCATCATGATCGTCATCACCATAATCATCATCACCCTCATCATCGTCATCGAAATCGTCATCGGCGTAGTCATCATCATCATCATCATCATCATCATCATCATCATCATCATCATGATCATCATCATCATCATCATCAGCATCATCATCATCGTCACCATCATCATCATCACCATCATCATCACCCTTGTCGTCAACATGATCATCAGCAGCATCATTGTCGTCGTCGACTTCGTCATCAACAGCAGTGTCGTCATCATCAGCATCATCCTCGTTATCTTCCTCACCATCATCACCACCATCATCGTCAACGTCGTCGTCGCCCGTCGTCGTCAGCAGCAGCAGCATCGTCATCATCAGCAGCATCATCATCATCATCAGCATCATCATCAGCATCATCAGCATCAGCATCAGCATCATCAGCATCATCAGCATCATCATCATCGACAGCATCAACATCATCACCATCATCATCAGCATCACCGTCATCTTCATCAACATCATCAGCATCACCATCACCATCTCCATCATCATCAGCAGCAGCAGCATCATCGTCATCTTCAGCAGCAGCATAATCAGCATTATTATCATCCTCACCATCATCATCATTATCATTATCATCATCACCACCATCATCATGATCATGATCATCATCATCATCATCACCATCATCATCATCATCATCATCATCATCACCATCATTATCATCATCATCATCATAATCATCATCATCATCATCATCATCATCATCATCATCATCATCATCATCATCATCATCATCATCATCGTATTCTTCTCGTGGTCCTCCTCCTCCTCCTCCTCATCGTCCTCCTCCTCCGTCTCATCGATCTCATTGGAGAGGAAGGGTCAGGAGGCAACGCCTGGGAGGTCTCCGCAATTACGATTCGGGGCCTAGGATTGGGACGGCGTCGGACCAGGGGTGAGAAAAGCTACTGGGGCGGGCGAATCCTGGCGGGGGTCTCCATGGAAACGATTACGCACTCGATTGAAACAGATGCTTGAAACTTCTGGGCCTAAGCAAGCTGGACTGCACAAGAGTCGAGGCATATTCATGTATGAATGAATATAGTTTCAAAAAACATTTTCCGCGCAAGAGCGGGCTGGAATGGACAAGGGTCAAGCCCGATCAAGCTGGACCACGCAGGATCAGGCGAGGCGTGGCTGGACTTAGTTAGACTTCGACCCAAGGAGATCTCAGAGCCGATGCTTCCTCTCTTCATTGGTGGTAACGCGTGTTGCCCGGGGTGGGGGGCGGGGGGAGACGACGGCAACGGCGGCCAGCGTGCATCCCCCCGAAGGCGCGCCCGCCACACCGGCGCAACGACCGCCTGCGCGCATCGCAGAGCCTGTGCACACCACAGTGCCTCTGCTTCTTCTCGCACCTGCGCGCACCCTGGCGCCACCACCGCCGGTGTACACCACAGCGCCCCTGTGCACCAGCACGTGCGCAACAGCGCCGTTGCACAGCACGGTACCTGCGCGCACTGGATCTCTTTTGTGGTGCACCGCGGCGCCCCTACACGTACCACAGCAGCCGCGTGCACCACAGCGGAGCCGTACACTACAGTGCCCGCGTGAACCAGAGCGCTCGTGCACACCACAGCGCCTGTCGAATACAACAGCATTCGCGCTTGCCGCAGCGCGAGTGTGCACCTCAGTGCCTCCGTGCACCAGTGCCCGCGCGCACCGCAGCGCGTGATCAAACAGAAGTGTGATCAAACAGGTCGTTCCGGCCCGGCCCCGCCTCCCTCGCCCGCCCCACGCTCCCCACTCCCTCCCCGAGTCTCCGGTGCTTGCGAAAAACCGTGCATTGTCATGAAGAAAACGAGGGCGACGAGGGACGGAACGCTACCACGACGAAGACGACGACGACGACGCCGACGCCGACGCCGACGCCGAGGACGACGACAAAGACGACGACGACAGTGCATGTGCACCTTCGGGGGTCTCCAGGCCTCTTCGATCGTCGTCTTTCTCCTCCTCACCCTCCTCCTCATCCTTCTCCTCCTCCCCCTTCTCCTCACCTCCTCCTCAAGCTCATCGCCTCCTCATCCTCACCTCCCCCTCCTCCTTCTCCACCTCCTCCTCCTCCTCCTCCTCCTCCTCCTCCTCCTCCTCCTCCTCCTCCTCCTCCTCCTCCTCCTCCTCCTCCTCCTCCTCCTCCTCCTCTGGGGCGACGCACACACAGGTCACTCGTGTGCTGGGGGTGCCGCCGGCAGGAGAGGCTCCTCGTCGCCGCGGCCAGCCATCCCCCCTCGACCCTTCTAGTGCCGAGTTTCTGCATGTCTTGGAAAGCTCCTCGCCGCCACGACCGGATCCCCTTCGGCACTCTGGTCCGAGGGCGCCCCAGGGCACAGGTCGGAGGGCCGACGCCTGGGGAGTCCCAGGATCTCGAGCTCCCGAGAGAATCTTCGGTCCTCGGTCCTCGAGTCCTCGAGCCCTCGACCCTCGAACCCTCGATCCCTCGAGCCCTCGGTCGAACCCTCGATCCTCGAATCGAGGATCGAGGGTTCGAACTTCTGCATGTTCGAAAAAAGCTCCTGGAGGCTCCTCGTCGCCGCGGCTGAATCGGGGGGGGCAGGAGAAAGGAGGCGGAGCAGGCTCGAAGAGGCTCTGCGCTAATTTTTCTGGGCATCTGCGGGCCCGCTTCGGACCCGCGGACCGTCAGACATCGGTCCACGATGAAAAACTGGCAGGATGGCAGGATCCACCAGCGTCCAAGTGGGGAATCGGCTCGAATCGGACTGTACGTCGGATTGGACCGCATCGGCTTCGGAGTCGGAATCGGATCGAATCGGCGGCGCCAGGATGCATAATAGCGCCACGCAAACATCGGGCCGCATCGGCCCGCCCGGACGTCGGACTCGCATCGGGCCGGCCACAGCGGTATATCGAATCGGATCGATCGGACCGAAGTGGGCCCTGGGACATGGACCCCGGGAGAGGTCCCGAGACCGGTCTTCCCCAGGTCGTGAGCAGGTGCTGAGCAGAGGGGGGGAAACAGGACCCCTCTAGGTCCGAGGGTCTAAGCTCTCTTGTGCGTGTCTTCGCCATGCTGTATAGCCTCCTGGGGCCTTCTCGTCGCCACGGCTGGGTTCAGACACCCCTCGGGGTGGGGCGCGAGGGGAAGCCCAGAGCCCCGCCGATGAGGTTCGAGGATCGATGGCTCGAACTTCGAGGATCTGTGATCTGCTAATCCTCGTAGCCACGGTGCCATGGCTGGGTCCGCCCCGAAGTTCTGGTCAAATCGCACGCCCGGACAGATCCGAAGGTCAACGTTCGACCCCTGCCTCCCAAACCCCCCTCACGTCGCGAAGAAATCACGACGGAAAGTGTCGCCGTCGCCGCCGCCGCCGCCGTCGTCTGCGTCCTCGTCGCCGTCGCGGTGCCCGATGGGAAGGCGGTGGTCGTCTTCGTCGTCGTCGCCGCCGTCGTCGCCGCCGTCGTCGCCGCCGCCGTTCTCGTCGCCGTCGCCGCCGCCGCAGTCGCTGCCGCCGCCGCCGCCGTCATCGCCGCCGCCAACGTCGTCGGCGTCGTCATCGCCGCCGTCGTCATCGCCGCCGCCGTCATCGCCGCCGCCGTCGTCGCCGTCGCCGCCGCCGCCGCCGCCGTCGTCGCCGCCCTTCCCCCCCGCGCCTCGTAGTCGCCGATTTTCGTGGTCGTGACGCCGCGGGCGGCGCCGGCGAGGCCCGGCCGCGCGGCCGCGCGGCCCAGCCGCCGGGCCTCGGCGGGCCGCGGGGGGCGCCCGCGGCGGAGAGGACGGCGAGCGAGGGCGCCGGCGAGGGCGGCGAGCGGAGGTCGGAGGCCCGGAGGGGGCGGGCGCCCCAGCTCTCCGACGGCCCAGGGAGCCAGCGCTGCGAGGAGGAGGAAAAAGAGGAGGAGGAGGAGGAGGAGGAGAAAGGGGAGGACGGAGGAGGAGGAGGTGGAGGAGGAGGAGGAGGAGGAGGAGGAGGAGGAGGAGGGGGAGGAGGAGGAGGACGACGAGGAGGAGGAGGAGGAGGAGCAGGAGGAGGAGGAGGAGGAGAAGGGGGAGGAGGAGAAGGGGGAGGAGGAGGAGGGGGAGGAGGGGGAGGAGGATAGGATAGGATAGGACGCCGCCTGACGAAACGAGTCGAGGTCGAATGGCCACTGGCCGAAAACAAAACGAGTTACGAGGGAGGCACAGTGGCCAGGGGATCCTCACCCTCCTCAGCCGCCTCTTCCTCGACACGGAGCGGAGGAGCCTCGGCCGCAGCAGGCGGCCGCGAGCCTAGCTCTTCACGGTGCCGTACTCTGTCGCACAGCGACTTCATCCTCACTTCGTAGCCGTACTCGGCCTTGGCGCCGAGGTCGCTGACCACCTGTGTAGTCCGGACCTGGCGCCTCGAGGCAACACTCACCTGAACGCTGCTTGCGGGGATCGCTGCCTCCAGCAAAGCTCTGACTCTGGGATTTGGCGCGACACCCCGCCTGAACCTAGAAAGAACTTCACCCCCTGTACGAGTGGGGGGCCTGCACTCTCTCTTGAGCTTGATGGCCTTCTCTTGGCCCCAAGCTCCACAACGAATGCACAGGAGCTGGGCCCGCTGGAGGTCAGATGCGGCTCGCGCCGACGGCAGCCTGGAACCCGACACTGCCACCAGCCTGTGCCCAAAATCCTGGAGGGTGAACTGCTCTAGAAATGTTGGCGCCCCCTGGCAGCCTGCCATCGGCAGGTGTCCTACCTGGGGGCCAACGCAAAAAAAACATTGCACGCATTGCCATCCCAGCTCACCCCATACCCAGTCGTGCCACCCAGTCCTCACCGCCCGCCTCTCTCTCTTCCCGAAAGACAGCGGGCGCTGCCAGCGCTGGGTCTCCGAATCTTCAAAGAGGGGCAACACCGCGGCAGCGACCTTGGCGAAATTGAATGCTCGCTCCTCTGCCAACACAAGATCTCTGAGGAGGGCAGGGCTCGGAGCAGGGCGGAGGCAAGCAGCATTCTTCGCCTCTCGATCAGCGCGACTGTTGGCCAACGCCAGGCGCTTTTCAGCTTCATCTAAATCGTCAATGGCCTGCATGCTGCGGTGGGCCTTGGCATGAAAACATTAACATGTTTACGTCCTGGCAGGGCGTGAGCAAACTTGTGGGCAAAACCAAAAAACTTGGATGCTTTCATCTGTCTGTCTACTGCATTGTCGAACTGCCTGATAGCACTCATGCAGTCAGCTGCAACCGAGCATGTTCTGTCAGAAATCTGCGCTGTCTACATTCTCGGCAACGCTGGGAGTCTGAGGCAAGTGGCCTGGCACGACTCCTTCCATTACCCCAACAATCTGGTCTCCTGGCGCCTGTACAACCAAGGACCAGGTCGCTCGCTCGAGCTCTCGCAATCCTGGCTTGGAACATGAGCCGTCAACTGCAATCTCAAGCACTGGGGAAACAGACAGGCCTGCGAATTCCTCTGGTTGAATATCGAGAGAGTTCCCACCCCCATCCTCCAGCAGAACCTCCGAGGAGCAGGAAGGGGGGAGGAATGTCATGCTCACTGTACAGGCGCAAACCACGAGTGAAGATCGGGTCATCAGATTCGATTGCTGCCTGCATAAAACTTGCAGGCACACCCGCTTCCTCTCGTGCTGTTGCTACTGCTGCTAGTTGACATTCATACAGACGGTGTTTGATGGTATCTTCGCGCCCACACTCGCAAAGACCATCCGTCACGTAGCCAGCTATATTCGCGCGACTTCGCGTCCAAACACCATCACAGGCGCAGCAGCTGATCAGGAATTTCTGATGTTTGCTGTAACGCTTGCTCGCTGGGCGAATCATTCGCTTGATGAAATCAAAAGAGGCTCGCAGCAAACTGGGCCCATCGGGGCTCACTCGAGGCTCGCTCACTTCCGCTGCTAGTGCTATCGCATGCTTGCGCTGTATGCCTGCACTGCAACTGACCAAGCAATCCTGGTGAAATCTGGTCGACGGCCACCTCACAGCCTCGATGATCAGTCCATCTCGTCGCCGACGTGACTGCCCAGCCTGCTCGCTGCGCCGCCAGTGCGGCTCGACGTATGGGCCCTCTGCTGTTGGCCCAGCTCAACTCAGTGTCATTCCCTGGTCGTACTTCCTCCCAGAGCTGCAGGAGCCTCTGCGCACTGATCATAGCGTGGGGACTGGTGTTGGCTACCCACAGCATTCGGCACCACTGCACCGCTGGTGCGACTGCAAGCTTCGCCGATGAGTCGCCGTTGAGCACAACCTTGGCCGTCAAGCTGACCCCTCCATGCGCAGGTAGCTTGCATCGCGCATGGGCAGCTCGTAGCTTCCGCCATTCAGTATCATCCACGCCAGCAATCTCTGAGCCGTAGCACGCTGCAGGAGCGATACCAACTTTGACAATCTGTCCACACGCCTGAGCTTTGTCCACACCAGCAATCGAGTTCTCGAAAACGTCGAAGCTTACGAAGTCGCCGTATCATTTTCAGACCCCGCTTCTGCCTTTGCTTGCTGGCACCACCAGCGCCACGCCGCCTGCCTTCGCTGATGTCAGTGCCCACATACACCGCATGCTGCTTCGCCACTTCTTGTGGTAGCCCAGCATCTGCCGCAAATTGTCTGGCCAAGGATAGCGAGCTGCCAGCAACTACCAGTTTGTCATTGATCGTGGCTTCTAGCATGTGAGACACCTCCACAAAGTCACGGTATGCACTGGCCGCCAAGTGCACCACAGCTTCGAGACTGCTGCTGGATAGCCTCACACTATTATCGTCAATATAGCTCCGAAAGGTCATCCATGCATGCCGTTGGCCCAGCCAGTCAAACTCATCAACAGCCCAAACTTTGATCGATACGTCACAACATGCATCGCCTGCAGGAAGTCCGGTCTCTGGAAAGAACACCGACTCGCTGTGATGACCTTGCAACCTGAGAACCCGCGGCGCGCGCCACATATTGTGGGCCAGCTTGGCATAGCCTGAGGGCGCGCCCTTAGCCATGTACTTGCCTCTGAGCCTCGACAAACGGATCTTCCCATAGAACTTGCTGTAGTCGGCGATGATGGTGACACCGTGTCGCGCGGTGGCAGAGTCTGCTTCAGCCTCCGCAGCCTGGGTCCATGCACAGTCGAGCGCACTGCGTCCACGCCCTGCTCCCCAGCACGGCCTGTCCAGTGCCACTTGCATCTGATCCAATACTCCACGCCTAGCTCTCTGCCACGCACGATGGAATCCTGCATACACTACTATCAGCCGATGCCCTTCTGACTTCCATTTCGGAATCAGAGGGGTCAACACCCACGCGAGCTGTCGTGGGGGGGGGGCCAACCGCTTCAGCACATGCGAACAAGCGGGGGGCACTGTTTCCAAAGCATCACCGTCCAACATAGCAAAGCGGCGAGGGTGCATTCCATCAACTGAGGCCGACGTAGTCTCTGGAAGCGACCGCGCAGCCGCACGCACCTGCGCCGCCGTCATGGGTGGCAAGTGTCCTCTGTCAGGAACCCAAGCTTCCGCAGGCCCCCATTGCACTCCGTCACAAACGTCGATAAACTTCTACCTCATGCGCCAGCACATCGCGCGGGCGTGCTGACAATCCTCGCTTTCTACGCACCACTGTCGCAACGTACTCCGACTTGTACTTGGTCGTTTTGTGCAATATTCGAGCTCCGCCTGCCGTCGCAGTAGCACACCACTCCTTCCAATCTTGAGCAACATGTCGCGATTCTCCTCGCTCCGCTAGCCCAAGGTCTTCGGCAATGTGCTGCGCAAAACTGTCACAGATCTCAGGGTCGATAGCCACATCCTGAAAACTCCTCGCGTCATGGACAGCCCGGTCCAGTCTGGCATCTAGACCTTGTCCCGAGTACTCTGACGTAGCCATCGCCACCCCCTCTTCAGCAACTCTCAAACTCATGCTTATATCATTGGTCGCTGCACGTTGCATCTGAGCAATATGGTTTATAGCATGTGTGAGCCATCTCCATCCATCTGCTATAACTTTGGCGTCAGCAGGGTCCTTCATCGCGTACTCTATCGTCACCCATCTCGCCTGCAATGGCTTGCCGAAAGCACCGCAGTTCAGCGTGGAACTGCAAGCCGCACCACCAATCTGTTTTGCAGCAAGTGACGCGAATAGCGTCCACGCTCTCGACAGAAGGCACCACGCTGTCATCGCCCCAACATTCTCATCACAGCACGCACGTCTTGCAGCATCAGCCACTGTCTTAGTAATGTGCCAGCATGGCGGCGCTGGCTGAAGACCCACAATCTCCTTTTTTTCCCAACGAGCGCACTGCATACTAAACAAACTTCCGCATGCTCGCCGCCGTTCCTTTGAGGTATAGTACTACAGGTCGATGAGGTCTCTTGGCCCACAACATGTCTGCGCGCACATCAGAGAAGGCCCGATTTACCGCCGTGTTCAGCGCAAGATAGTCAATCACCGTGCTGCCAGCACCACCACGGCACGCAACTGCCTTTGGTGATCGTATAACCGCGCCACCCAGTGTAGGGAAATTTGATGCATCCAACCCTCCTGGTGGGATATCCCAGCCAATTGCAATTATAACTGGCCTGCCCAGGCTATCCGCAATCGTACCAACTCTTGCAAGCAACTGTGCATTTTTCCCCGCTGGCCCTGCACATGTGAACAAATACATATTGAATATGTGCAACTCAACTGGCCAACCCGCTAGATCCACCACCACAAGCTGGATCCGATGTTCCCACACTTGCATCCTGCCAACAGCAGGTGGCCGCAGCCCATGT